GACAATATTCCATGTGCTTGTGAACAATAAACATTGTTAAACTTTTACTCCTGTTTCCGTCTCCGTGGTGTTCTGCATAACTGGGTCTCATCAGTGAACCCATCATGACACCATATTTCTACTTGAGTAACAAATGTGTGTACTTTTGACACCACTGTATATATATATATAAATATATAGTACTCCAACCCTTCTTTATATCCCTCTATTATGCAATTGTAATTGGCTTTTCTATTGTTTATTTTCTGTTCCATCTTTCTACAACACAATACATTGATCTGAATTGTCAATGTGCCTTAAAGCTTTACACAATATTATTTTCTGTTTCATAATAATAAGTAATTATATATGCATCTTTAATGAATTGAAAATGTTTTTATTTTAATTTGTGTTTTTTGGGTAATTAACAACCCTGTAATAATAAAAAACTAACACTATTACAATTTGTTGAGGAAAAAAAAAAAGAGAATAGATCTGGAGATTACCTATTAACTATGCAACTTTATAACCATTTCTGATTATATATGCTTTTGATTTACGTCAGTGTATAGTCAGTCATACATGTTTAATCTCCTCATCTTCAGGAGTTAATGATTACTAAGCCATAATTTAACTATTACTGGCATATTATATGTTAATCATTTCCAGTACATGTCCAATCATTTCCAGAACCAATTCTTTTTGTTTTTATTATATCTTGGAACCAGACAATGTACCAGACCCTCAGGGTCAATGTACACTTTTCCAGTAGGAAAATGAAGATGCACATCATCTTTATTTTCCAAACAAAGACTAACTAGATTTTCCAAAACCCCTTGCTAATATATAAACAAATTAATGTACATANCTTTCTTTGGGATCACATGGATAAAATTATGCAGGGATGACCCAGTGTGATTCCTTTTCACACCTTTTAGAACATCAAATTACTTTTTGATCATGTTTCTCAGCTACTCCCTCTAACACAATGAGTTTAAATGATGCTTTAGGCAACATACATTTGACACAAACATCCTCAGAAAATAAATTACGTTTTTCTATGATTTTTTTTTTCCATAATGTAAGACTACTCTGCATTCTCCTGTTAAGGAAATATGCTGCATAAATAAATGTGCCTACCTTCTTATACTTTTTTTTCTATATATATTTTTTTTACATTACAGCTACAAATTATGGGATTTTATAGGCTGACACTAAGAAGATTCTCATTGTGTAATTAAAGGAAAATTATGTATTATCTTAAAAAAGACTGGGAATGAAAGTTTAAAGAGGTCCTGTAACTGCTGTCACTTGCATCAATCTGCTGCCTTCTAAAAAATGAAAGATGTTCATTGTGTGATGCATAGGTTGTTAATGATGCAACGGTTTGAGCTTTGTTTGTGAAATATCCTGTTAATGATATTCACTTTGAGCCGGAAGTATTCCTTTTATTGCTCGTCGGAAGCCGAAAGTGAAAGAGTTGTAGATGACTCAGTCAGTCTGAGGAGTGGCTACACCACCGTTTATAGAGATCTAGGTGTTAGTTAGATTTCCTTTACAGCAGCCATGGAGCTTCTTGTTCTTTTGTCTCTTTGCTTGCTGACTTTTATTGGAAAAACGTTTGGTGATGGTAAGAAAAATTAAACGCTCTGTTTTATAATTGCTTTTTTAATTATAAATATCAGATTTTTATTATTATTATCTATTGGCTTTAAATAAGTAATCAGTTTGGACGATGTCATGTCTAGAGTTTCATGTGTGCAGCAGCAGGATGCGCGTGTTTACTACACAAATAGCGGAAGTAAGACGTTNAATAAAAATATTAGTGGGTGGTCCGTCAGGTGTTTAAAATTCATCATTGTGCCGTAATCTGCTAAGCAGCATCAGTCGTGCTGCTGTGAACTGTTTGGTCATGCCGCCTACCTGGCGTGTAGCGGTGCACATTCTATATTACGACCGATGCACCATGGCAGCAGCAGCAGGGGTTAAAATAAGCTGGAAAGGTCCATTACTGCACGCTGAACTTTGACCACTCCACTCTTCAAGAGGTGCTTGTGCAGAAATGTGTCTTTCCGTGCTCGTAGCTCAATGTCTGCGCTTTGTACTCTACACTTATGGTTCACCCTCAGCAGTATGGCTTTCCCTGCTCTCAGTACTTAATAAACTATATGTGGCTGATCATCCTCTTCCAAGTGTAAAAAATCCTTTTGTTTAACTTAAGATTGTATTTCTTCCAACTCACAAGACGTGATGTAAAACATTCTTTAAATTCTACCAAAAGGAATCCCTAAATTATATCCAAAGCAATTATTTAATTCCATACTGTTTAATTTTTGGATAAAAGGTACATAGATCTTTGAATACTGTACTTCTATCTCATAGTTGTTGTTTCTATCTATTTGAATATTTCAACATTTTAGTTAAGATATTGAAATTTAGGTCTGGACTGCCATGGCATTATAAGGCAATTTTGTAGGTTCTCTGTGATCTGTGTATTTTTCTTTATATCACACCCCTGTCCTTGAGACATGAGCAGTGATAAATTCTTAGAAATAAGGCCAAAATTGCAAAGTAGAAGGAAGATTGTTTTTTTTTGTGTGTGTGTGTTTTTGTTTGTTTGTTGCTTTTTCAGAGCAGTGAAGATTTTTTTTATCTGTGTATAATGCATAAGTCAGAGTAGAACAGGAAGTGTTTGCTAACGTCTCAACCCTTGCTACCCTGTCATACCACGTAACCACTTCAAGTAGTGGTTCAGATCGCCCGCACACTTCAACTGGCATTTAAACAGCCTAAGTGTTCAGTCAAAATGTGGCAGTGGAGGGGAGTTGTGGTCAGTTGGAAAGAGTTTGAATATATTCTAAGATTGTCGCTACAAACATGCTTAGTGTCAGGGATTGCCTTCAGTTCAATAAGTCGATGCAATTAACTGGTTTTCCTGTACCAGTACAATGCACTATAGATGCTTTGAGATGACATGTGTTGTGAATTGGCACTATATAAATGTCATGATTGGTTTTATATCAAACCCACATGCAGAACACAACGGAGGCTGGGTAAAAGTTTAACAGAGTTTATTAAAGATGTTGACACACAAAATCATGAACTGGATC